GCGAGAGACATAAGGGGCCCTGGAGGAAGTATGCGGCGACGCTGGCCCCGGCAAGTGGTCTCGTTCCCATCCGACATGAGATGAGCACGCTGACGAGTTTCCTACTCAGCCTCAGTGCCGATGCCCTCGCCTCCGCATCCATCACCTCCTTGGCTGAGTCTCCCCCGCCAGGCGTGCTGGTCACGCGCGGCGGCAGACCAGACACTCCCACGGCTGCCGACGCAGACAAGTCCCAGGGCACGAGGGACAACGACTCCCGTATGGGCCACCAGGACCCGCCCGACCGCAACGGCAACGACGAGAGCGTGGAAGACGGGGTCCCCCCCACAAAGGTGGAGTCTCCCGACTTCGGAGAAGGCGATCCCCCTCCTCCCTTTGCTTGCTCGGACTCGGCCTCGGACTCGGACTCGGCCTCGGACTTGACAAGGCGCCTCAGCAAAGCCCATCGGCGGACAGCTCTGACTCCAGCCGCGAGGAAGTTCCGACCTCGGCCGGGGACGACGCGCCCAACGCCGACCACAGTAGAGACCCGGCCCGGGGATCCGCGGTGGACGAGAGAGCCCGCGACCGAGGCGGCGCGCGGAACGAGCGCTCTCCCGCGCCCACCCCCCAGCTCCCTGGACAGAGGCACTATCACCCTCGCCATGCAGGCACATCGGAGCAGGATGCGCTCAATCTGTTGACCTGTCCGGAGGGGGGTGGCCACATGTACAAAGTCTGGCTGGGCACGGTGGACCTGGAACGTCCTAACGAGACACCCGCCAGACGCATGGCCAGACATCAGTCGGAGTTGGGCGTAGTCTTCTGCGCGCTGTGGGCCGCGCGCGCGCAACGTACTTGGCTCCCTGGATCCAGGGCGCCCAAATCCGACCCGAAATTGCACGCGGCCGCGTCCATCAATAAGTTTCTGGATGACTGGAAGGACTGCGGGTGCGACGCCTACCAGATGAACGCGAGGCTGGGCTACGGCATTGACTGGGACAGGCTACGAGCCGACTACCTGCGACACTCCCGTACCGACGGCAGGGGCGAAGGCAGCTACCGGCAGACCAGCTGGCGTGACCGCGCGACAAGCTCCTGGGGCACCTGGGGCAGCTGGCAGGGCGAGCGGAGCGATGGATGGCGCGAAGATCGCTGGCAGACGGGCGGCAAACGCGGCGGAGGCCGCCCCGACGATCGAGACGATAGAGACGAAAAGAGGCTCCGATGGGGGGACTGAGCTCGCTCCCATCCCAGCGCCATGCGCCGCCACGACTACCTCACCACGCACTGCGCGCGGCCTTCAGTCGCTTTCTTCCTCTCCAACTGCGGGGCAGCCCGACTGCCCCCCCCCCCCCCTGGACGGCGCCCTTCTTACCTTTGGACCATGGTGTGCCGCTCAGTAATACTATCTGCACCCCTGCGTGACAGTGCGCAGCTTGCAGACCCTAGCCGGCCCCTGGCCCCGCTGCCCTTACTCTTACCAGTGGCCGCTGAATCCTAGCCGTAGGCATCACGTTGTTGTTCACTCTGGCTGCGTTTCACCCTGGAGTTCCCCCTGGCGCAGCCTTGAGCCGCGCTGCGGACTCCGCTCACCTGCGGCGTTCCGCCGCCCTCCCCCCCGACGCGCGCGCCTCCTGCCTTTGGATTCAGGTGTACGTGTCGGTAATACCGTCCACTCAGCTCACCCCGCTAGTGGACCTGTGGCCTCCAGCCTTACTGTAGATGTTTTCACCTGCTAGGCGCGGCCTGGCACGCGTCTGTGGGCCCTGGCGGTCTCGCCCGCCCATAGATTCGTCACCCCCTGGACTTCGCAACCGTTTAACGGCCTTCAGCCGTGACCCTGGAACGAAGTGACTCTGAGGGAAGCGTTTTGGGTATACGACGGTCCCGTCCCTCGGGTGCTACCCTACACGCGTATGTGTGGCGCTGAGTCACTTTGGTCGTGCACTTCAGCCATCGCGTGCTCCTGCTGTGTGGCTTTGTGCACGTTGCTTTGCTCTTACCAGTCGCTGGTTCAAGGGCTCTGGCGCATCTCAGTTGTGGAAGGTTCTATCTCCGGCTACTCTGTTTCCACACCCTGGATGCGTGTTCTGACGTCGCGATGGTTGCCTCCGCCGTCAGAGTTTCCCCGCTGGACCGTGTCACCAGTCAGTCTGTGCTACCCGTCAGACTCCCTGGATTGACGTCTCGCTCGGGACCGTTTCCTACCCGTTCGATTCGAACGGTTGGGAACGCTTACGCTCCATTTTGGATGCGCTCTGCTTCCTCGGTGCCTGTGTTCAGACTCCCTGGATGCGCCGTTGCATGTTCCTTTCAGGGGCTGCCATGCAGACTCCCTGGATTTGCACGCCTTGGCTCAGACGCCCTGGGTCGCTGCTGCCCGCCGCCTGACCGCGGCCCCGCGCGCGCCCGCCTCCTAGTCGCGGCCGCAGCCCGACCGTGACCGCCTGCCGCTGGCGCTTCCGCCTGCGGCTGTAAAAAAATAGGAAAACAAGTCCTCCCACCAGCCCGTCCACAGGCGATGCCTGGGCGAGTTGCCTTGATCAGGGAAGCGGAGGAGCATGCAGTGGATCAAGAGCTGAGGAAACCATCAAATTGAAGTCGTGGATCAGCCTGCGCAGACCCACGAGCGAACTGTATGCGCCTTCGCGGACCTGCCGAATGAGGAAAGGCGGGGAAGACGGACGAGGAGGGGATGAGGGAGAGGAGGAGGGGGTGGACGAGGAGGACATCGGAGGAGGAGGAGGAGGAGGAGGAGGAGGATGAGGAAGAGGAGGAGGAGGGGGAGGACGAAAAGGAGGAGAAGGAGGAGGAGGAGGAGGAGGAGGAGGAGGAGAGAAGGAGGAGAAGGAGGAGGAGGAGAAGGAGGAAGGGAGGAGGTGGAGGAGGGCGAAGGCGGAGGAGGAGGAGGAGGAGAGAGGAGGAGGAGGAGGAGGAGGAGGAGGAGGTGGAGGAGGAGGAGGTAGGAGGAGGAGGAGGTGGGAGAGGGGGAGGGGAGGAGGGGGGAGAAATGTGCGGATGAAGAGGGGGGGAGGAGAGAGGAGGAGGAGAGGAGGAGGAGGAGGAGGAGGAGGAGGGAAGAGGAGGAGAGGAGGAGGAGGAGGAGGAGGAGGAGGGAGGAGGAGGAGAGGAGGAGAGGAGGAGGAGGAGGAGGAGGAGGAGGAGAGGAAGGAGGAGGCGGAGGAGAGGAAGAGGAGGAGGAGGAGGAGGAGTAGGAGGAGGAGGAGGAGGAGGAGGAGGAGGAGGAGGAGGAGGAGGAGGAGGAGGACAATGGCGAGGTTGGGGGGTTTTTGGGGCGTTTTGGGGGCCTCTTGTCGGTCCCGGGGTCCTCCTGCGTACCTCGGGGAGCCTCTTGGGGCCTCTCGGGAGTCTCTTGGGAGCCTCTTGGAGGCCTCTTGGGCGCCTCTTAGGGCCTCCTTGGCGCCTCGTTGGGCCCTCTTGGGGCGCTCTTGGGAGGCTTGGGGACGCTCTTGGAGCCATCTTGGAGGACATCGGATAAAGAAGGGAGGAGCTTCAATTAGCCTTGCCCCTCTAGAGTGCCTAGACTCGTCTCTTGGACCCCTTTTGGAGCGCTCTTGGGGCGCTCTTGGGCGCTCTTGGGGCCATCTCGCGGCTCTCTCAGGCCTCTCTTAGGGCCTTCTGGAGCTCTCTTGGAGTTGTCTTGAGGCCTCGGGATTCCATAGAAAGCAAAACGGCGAGAAGGCATATTGAAATGAATTTCCTTGTTTTTGAAGGTTGTGAGCCTCTTGGCGGCCTCCGTGAGACGCTCCGGGGCCACTTGGAACCGTCGGTGAGCGGTCTTGAAGTCTCTTGGAGCATTTTGGGAGCCATCTTGAGGCATCTTGGGCTATCTTGTGCCATCTTGGAGGTCATCTTGGGCTCTCTGAGGCCCTCTAGGAGCCGTCTTGGGCCATCTTACGTTCGCGAACCTCTCTTCCATGTCCAGTGGAGGGGGTAGGGGGAGAGGTCAAGACACCCGCTAGATAGCAAGCCGTCTAGCTCACTCCCAACCGCTCTCCCAACCGCCCTCCCAACGCATAAGTAACTCCCGAGCCTCACCAAGTTCAGCGGTCGTCTTTGGATGGGCAGTTATTGGGAACCAACTCCGACACCTCCTGCGCAACGCTGGGGCGAGGTGCGCCACGCGTGCCAGGCGCGCCACGCGTGCCATGCGCGCCAGGCACCCCTAGGGCCCCAGCGTGCCAGGCACGCCTGGTGCGCCAGATGCACCACGTGCTTCGCGTGCGCCAGCTGTGCTGTATACTCCAGCCGCGCCAGGTGCACCACGTTCGGGGCACGTGCAGCGTGTGTCAGGTGCGCCTGCGCACGTGACAGCACACATCGGGAACTACGTCGGCCCCCACCATCCTTGTCGAACGGCAATGCCCTTTCTTGTGTCTGGTGGGCCTGCGCAGCAGGCTATACGTCACCACCCGCGCCGTCCCTGTAAAAAACTACCTGACAGTGATCGCGGGGTGGCTGCGCATGATCCAGGTTGTGCCGCGAGCTGCACTTTGTACTGTTGGTTATTAGGGGTGGTAGCCCTGCGCACAGCAGGCAATATGCTGACAGCCCCGCCGTCCCTGTCAAAACCAATACGAAGTGCCCGCGGGCCTCACGAACATGACTCAAGACTTTGCCCCACAGTGTACATTGCATTGTTTTTGACAGGGAGTGGGGGGGCGCATCGGGTTGGCCGCGCATGCTCCAAATGTGGAGGCAAAGTGCGTGTTGTATTGTTTTTTGACAGGGATGATGGGGGGGGGCCATCATGGTTCCTCATTGGCCGCTGGTCGCCTGGGGGAGGGGTGTATATTGATAGGGAACAGTGGTAAAACTCTCCCCGAATGGGAAGAAGGGGGTTGGAAGATGAGCCTCCCTGGACCACCTACCTACGCCCAGAGGGCTGGTGGGACTAGGGAAGAATGGGGGAATCCTTGAATTTCTGATTATCTATTTGTGTGCCCCTGGGCCCCTTGATCCTCCCCCTCCCTGTCCTCCTGCCCCTCCGCTTCGAGGTGGAGACGGAGATGGGGAGCAGCACGAAGCCCCTCTTGGACAGCACCCAGGAGCCCGACGCACTTAGTCCACCCAACGACCCGCCCGCCCGCGACCCCCACGACTGCCTCGTCGTCTTCTTCGGCTGCCTCGCGGCCCTCCTGCTTCTGCTGGTGCGCCCGCTTTTGGAGGTAGTGCCCGTCGGAAACGAGCTCTCGGTGGAAGTGGCGGCTGTCAGATTCGCCATCTTGCCCGTCGGGCTCGCGCTCTCGCTGTTCGCCGGGGTAGAGGTCAGGCGACAGGCTAACACGAATTTGGACGGGTTTGGTTTCCTCTTCAAGTACGCAAGGGCGGCCCACTTCGTCTTCGCGGCCTTCTTCACAAGGGCGATGTTCAGGTATGCGGGTGTATTGAAGATGTACCCTGGTGTCCCCTTCGCGGCTCGCGTGATCACCAATGCCATGGCATTCATGGCGTGCTTCGTCGTAACACAGTGCGTGAATCCCGCAGAGGACGAGGTGGTCATCGCGAGCCTGGATAGGCAGGCCGACATCTTGAGCCAGGCCCAGGTCGCCTCTTACCAGAACGTTGCCACTTTCCTCGCTGCGACGAGGAGTAACGACAGAACGGCATGTGGCCGCTTGTTGGAGGCGGACTGGAGGGTTTCTCCGAAGGGCTTATGCGACCCGTGCTCCTCCTCCTCCTCCTCCTTCCGTAGCCATTTTGGCTCAAGCCGTTCTGGCACACAAGTCTTTGTGCTTGATACTGCTAACTTCAGAACGGCACAGTGCAGCTAACTTCAGAACGGCACAGTGCAGTATCGAGTCAATCTGGCTCTGTCTGTTCGTTCTAACCAGCTTTCAGTCTCTCGTGGGCCTTCATGGGGAAAAACCATGGTTGGGTCTACAATCCGTGGGTCAAGTTCGGCCCGAAATGGTCTCACAGCGCTTCTCATGGTGATTGGGACAGCTCTCAATGGTACTCTGTGGGCGCAGGAGGGGCCGTCAAGTGTCAAAATCCGAAGTGCGGTTGTAAGCGTAATACGAAGGGGGCCCTGTTCTGCAAGCATTGCGGGCGGGCCCTTTCTCAGCCAAATGGGGACGTCGGCGATGAGCTTGCCTTGGAGGGGGGTGGAGGGCGTGCCGCGGCAGAGTGGCCCAAGCTTGGCCAACGTGTGCCCGATCCTCCCGTGGAGGGAGGCGGCGGCCAGCCGCCTCACGCACCAGGGCCTGTGCCAGCTGTTTCTGTTGAGAAGGCCGAGGGGTTGGCTCGCCTGTGCTCGGGGTGCGGTGACGTGGAGGGCGAGCGCCGCTAGAAGTCTATCGTGGCGGCCAAGACTCCGAAGGCCGAGCCTGTTGTGCCATTTTCGCAGCGGTTGCAGCAGATTGAGGCGAAAGTGCACAAGCTCGAGAAGCGTCCTGAAGCAGAATACCATACGTACCAGAAGTGGGTCGGCAGCTTGGAGGACCAAGCTAAGCTCGTGGCCGACTTGCGTGCCGAGCTGCAGATCGAGCCCGAGCTTTTCCAGCCTACGTTGGCTGAAGTTCGACCTGCTGGGTCTCCTGTTGTTCAGCAGCCGAAGGTCGAATTGCGAGCTCTCGTGGATGATTATTTTGATCTATCCGATCGGCTCGATTTGTCCACACTCCTGGGCAACAGCGAAGACCATGAACTCAACCCCGATGAAGAACGTGAATTTACCAAGAGGCACGCTGCATTGGCTGATCATTTCAAGCGGAGTGCGAAGGAGCTGTTCGGTGATGCTCTGGACAAGGCTGACGCTCCTCGCAACGAAGCAGCTGATGAAGCAAAACGGTATGCTAAGAATCGCAAGGCTAACGATGGTCAAGGGGTGGCTGCGTCATCGGCTGCTGCTGCTTCCACAGCTACACAGCTCACCGCCCACCAAACCACCCCAACCCAACCCGCAGGCTCCAATTTGCCCTCCATTTCCGGTGTGGGGGGGGTCCGGGAATGTTGTGAAAACACATATGAAACCCGTCCCTCCCAACCCGAAATTCGGGTATTCGGGTTGGGTTGGGGTGGTCTGGTAGGCAGTCAACAGCCCAAGGAGCAGCCAAAGAAGGCGATTCTCAAATATTCAGCCAAGTCACTGTTGCCGCAGTTGCAGAGTGATGCTGGTCTGGCTGCTCACATTGCTGCTCGTGCTCGGCGGCCTGGTCTCTGACAAGGGCTCGGACGGTGAGAGCAGCTGCGGTGACGTGCCAGGGGGGGGGGGGGAGTGGCCCGAAGCGCCCATGCGGGTGGCCACGGGCCTTACAGTGGGGGCGCGTGCCAAGAAATCAATTGGATTTGGCCAGGGTGCCCTGGGTTTCTTGGACTTCGATGGGCCCCCAATTAGATCTGGATGAGTTTCGACCGACATATTTGGGTTTTCATGGAACAGATCGCAGCTTTCAGGGTTGGGTTTCTTGCGGAGGTTTCTTGCGGCCGAGCCCCCGCTGCAAAGTGTTGGAGCGTGCCCCCGCCCCCCCCCCCCTCCCCCCCCCCCCCCCCCCCCCCCCCCCAAGAGTTCGACATGTTTTTTTTCTGTCCGTGGCGCTCCGCAGCCCCCTGCTGACCTGGGCCCCATCGGATCCAGTTCTTCTCTCAGGCGGCTCGCTGGTGCCTGAGGCGCAGCAAGAGGAGGCTGGAGCTGAGTTGCGAGGTGCGAAGGGTGACGCAGGGGGGCCAGCCGTGGCAGAGATTGAAGCCAGATGTTCACGCCTTGATGAGTATGACCATGATCCGCTTGTTGAGTTGGAAGATGAATTCTAGACGCTTCGCCTATCCCCGCCAGCCCACCCCGAAACGATGTCCAGGCGAGTTGAGGTGATCAGGGAAGTGCGGCAGCAAAGAGGAGGACGGCCGAACCGTGCAAAGGAGTGAGGAGGAGAAGGAGGTGGATGGATGGATGGATGAGGGAGTGGGAAGACGGAGGATGAATAGGATGAGGAGGAGGAGGCGGAGGAGGAGGAGGAGGAGGAGGAAGAGAAGGAGTAGGAGCAGGAAGGAGGAACAGGAGGAGGAGGAGGAGGAGGAGGGCAAGCACAAGGGCCAGAGGTCTCTTGGATGCCTCTAGGAGCCTCTTGGAGTATCTCTTGGGCGATTCGTGGGGGCCTCTTGGGACGTCTTGGGGGTCTCTTGGCGATCCTGGGGGGCTCTTCGGGGTCTTGGGTGCCTCGGGGGGGGGGGGAGGGGGGGCTCTTGGGGCCTCTGAGGGTCTTCTTGGGGGCCTTCTGGGGGCATCTTGGGGGCCTCTTGGGGCCATCTTGGGGCCATCTTGGGACCTCTTGGGGCCTCCTGGGCGCTTCTTGGGGCCATCTTGGAGGAGATCGATCAAACAAGAGGGGGGTATTAATTAGCGTCCCCCCCCCCCCCCCTTTCCCCCCCCCCCCCCTTCCCCCCCCCCCCCCCCCCTCCCCCCCCCCCCCCCCCCCCCCCACTCCCCGCCCCCCCCCCCTCCCCAGGGGGCCAACATGGGGCCCAAACCTTACTAAAATCAATGATTGCGGCTTCTTCGCCGAGGCTGTTTTGGACGCTCTGACCGCTCCCCGCCCCCCCTGTCCAGGTCAGCGGGGAGGGGGTAGGGGGAGGGGTAAACCCCTCCCCGAAGGGGAAGAGGGAGGGGTGGAAGGGGAAACGCCCTGAACCACCGACGCCCAGAGGGCTGGTGGTATTAAAGCCTGATTGCGCAGCCCCTGGGTCGGGTCATCAGTGCAAGGTTCGTGCTGCTACTAGTGGCTCGGACAAGTTCTACGGTTTACCTGCGTACACCAAGTCTTCTACGTTCGATCAGAATGCGGAGCGTCGCAGCCCGACTGCAGTGCCATGGCCCCCTTCGCCTGCGGCGGCTCCCTCTATCTCTGAGCGGCAAGGGCAAGCTCATATGGGTTTGTCAGGTTTGTTCGCGAACATCACGGAGTGGGGCCCTCAAGCACATCGGTGCGCGGCGTCTCGGGGGCGGTTCAATATTTTGATGTTTTGCGGGGTGCGCTTGCCCCCTGGTCGCGACGGTGAGTTTCGTCGGCAGTTGAGCAAGGACAAGTGGCGCATGATAAGCACTCCAGCTCGACCGTCGGGCCGTTCGATTGGAGGCAGTTCTGGGGGCGAAGCTATTCTGGTTCGCTCTCATGCTGCTGCTACTTCATTCGCCCACTTAGCTCTAGGTACCAAAGGAGGGAAGTCCCCTGCGGTCGGTTGCACAGCAGTGGTGCGGCACCTTTCGCGCAGGAGCCTGGTCTTGCTATCTTTGCATTCATGGCCCAAACATGGCGCTCGTGGGCCTAACAGGGGCACTCTTCGTCCTTTGGTGGGTTTCGTGCGCAGTCTCTCCGCGGCGTATTGGAATCATGCGCCCGAAGAGTTATTGAAGACGTGCAACCCAGACCTACTGGAGGCTGGTTGCCTGATGCCACCATGCAAGGTGACTTGTGATCGGGGCTCAGGGGCGCCCATCGATTACGCGCTGACTTCCAAGGGCATCAGCGATTTTGCGAGCCTGGGGCCTGAACTTCAGGCGCCGTGGAAGACCCGCTGTGGATTGAAGTTAACGGTCAAAGTTGCGGGGGCTGAGGTTTCGAGCGCCGAAAGTTCTGCCCCATGTTGCTCGGCCGAAGCGTCGCCCTGATCCAGCATCTAAGTCTTCATTGCGCAAGGGGCCGATCATAATTCAACGCCGCGAGAGGCTCCCCGAGGACCTTCGTCAAGCTTTTGACGAGGCCAGTCCACCTGTGGACCAGGAGGCTGAGGACCGATGGATTTCGTCGGTTGAGAAAGCCATGCTGGGCGCGTCGGAGGCCCCTGGGGCCGATCGGGGCCCGTACTTGGGTCGGTCCATTGGCGCGAAGCTCGCGTGGGTGAAAGCTAGATCCAGTCCGGGACGGGCCCGCGTGAAAAGTGGTGAAGCTGAGTGGTGGTGGTGGGGGGGGGGGGCCTGACCACGCTTTTGTTTCGGCATTCTGCTTTGATGGAGAACGGCAGCGATGCTAACCAGCAGCATCAGTGTCCGCAGCTCCTTTTTCAAGGTTTCTGGCGAGGCCTTGGATCCCGATTCCTTGATGCTCGGTGCGCTGGCGTCGGATGTTCGTGGGATTCTGGAGTCGCTGGCGCATGTCGATCTGGCCCCTGATTCTGACTGGCCAGATTTCAGGCAGCGTGCTCAATTTTTCTATTGCAGGGCTTCGTGCAAGGCCATGGTCGAGGGCCGCAAGATTTTTGACAAGTTGGCCCAGGACCAGTGGAAGGCCAAGCCTGGCTGCATCCACGCCCTTGCCAAAGCTGCCCCGAGGGCACCTCCCGACATGATGTTTCGGGGAAGGCGTTGTCGAATCCTGTTTCAATTATGGCTACGAAGCGTGGCTCGCGGCATCGTGCTTGGACTGATCCCGTCGGCGCTGATGAGGACTTGCAAGCCTCTGTCGACAGAGCACTTCGGAGAGCCTCGGAGGATCCCCTCCCTCCTCTGTCGGCCGAGGAGGTGTCGTCGCTCTTGTCGTGCTCTGTTCCTCAGAGGGCCCCAGGGGTCAACGCCCTTTCTGTTCGGGATATTCAGAGGCTGCCGCCGTCGGGCATTCAAGATCTCATTCACTTGTTTAATCAGATAGAGCGCCTCGGGGTCCGGCCAGAGCAATTGTTTGTGACCTTGAGTGCGCAGACAGGAGGTGATCGCACCATTGGTCTCATTTCTAGGGTTGTGAAGACTTGGAGCAAGCTCAGGTCTGGGTTCGTTGCCTCGCGGTCCGAGCCCCTGGGTTCTTTCTGGGATGCCGCGGTCCGGGGGGGGGGGCTTTGCTTTAAGGGCTCGTGTTAATGCAGGCCTGCGGCTGGCAGGCCCGGGGCGAACTTCCTTCTTGTGCCCTTTAATGAAGCCTCCGGAACGGAGCCCGCCTGCCACGGCAGCATCCTCGGTTGCGTTACGAAGCAAGCGAGTTTCTCGCAAGCCGCGTGCAGCGAGCCGCGCCAGGGCCAGGCAAGCCGCGCTGCCGCCGCGGGACCTTTCCGATGCAGATTTTCCTGCATTGCAGGGTTTTTCTCTGCGCTGCAGCTTTTTTGTTCTGCAGCACTTTTTGCGGGGCAGATATTTGTTTCTGCATTGCAGTATTTGTTTCTTGCAAGTGTGGTATCGTCCAGCCACGAGCCGCCCCTGTGGGATATTGGGTACCGTGTGGAAATCACGTTGAACATCTGGGCTGGGCGCATGACAGGGCCCTTGCTTAGCTGAGCGGCGCGACTTAGCCGCTTATATGTTGAGTTATGCGCAGATATAACTGGCTCATCTTGAAGTGGAACACAAAAAAACACATAGTTGGCATGTTACTCACATCTGGAATATGTTTGACTTATAAGCCAAATATAAGTCACAGGTAAGTAAGAGCTAAGTCAAAGCTAAGTCAAAGCTAAGTCAACGCAAAGTCAAAACATAATTGGTGCAGGCGGGCGCATGAGCTACACAGGCTGAGATCCTGTGAGTGCACGATCAGCGTGAGGGGCGCGACCATCTGGGCGTTTCGCCAAAACCTCGAGCGGGGGTGAAGGCGGGGTTTGGGGACAAACCCCGGCGGAGGGGAAAGAGGGCCAAACTCGGACTTCAACGAGGGGGCCAAACCCACCTTCATTCCTTCCGCGCTATTTCGCTCAAGCGGTTGGCTCGCCACCGTTGCTTTGCGCGCATTTCTGGCGCATCGTATCAGCCTTCGCATTCCAGGCGCGTCGTCGACCATGCATTCATGGCTACTTCTTCAAACCAGCGCATTGCCGTCGACACGTCGGCGG